AGTGTTGGCTTTGTTTAATGAGTCTTATTAGTCTTATAAGATATGTCTACTCTTTTTCACTTTCTATTTTACATCTCTGAGTGGATAAATGTCCTGTCTCTTGCCTCCATCATTTGGTGGCCATGTGCTTGCATCCATCACCTCCCATGACTTTGTGCTTAGAGATGAGAACTTATTTTCAACTGTTTTGAAATATACAATATACTGTTATTCAATATATTCACCCTGATATGCAACAGATCTCCTAACTGAAACTCTGTGTCTTTTGACCAATAATATAAGATAGTATATTTGTTGTTTCAGACTGGGAAAAAATGTGGAAAGAGATAGATGAAAAGTGATGGCTGAAGTTAATAGGGTTCCATTTGGGATGATAGAAATGTTCCAAAGTTAGATTCTGATGAGGTATGTAAATATAACAAAAATAATTTGATTTTTATATTCAGTTGTACTATGATAATTTATACTTCAAATGTATATAAATCATATATTAATAAAGGTATGTTTATTATTTTTACTACATATGTTTAAGGTGTACACTATATTATTTGATGTACTAATACAGCTGTTTTTTTAAAAAAGTGGATTAAGTGCTTCAATCAAAAGGAAATTACTTAAAGAATTAGAGTGAGATGGTAAAAATCTCACAGCTAGTAGAAATATTGATAGGATCTAAATTTAGATACTATTACCTCAAGGTTAACTTTTCAAACAGGAAATAACTTTGAAAAATCCCAGGGTCTGTGATTTTATAATTTTTACTAGGAATCATGCAACCAACAGAGCAGAATCTGGATGCATCTGTTAGGAAAATAAAATGTCTGATATTCAACCAATCTATGTAATGTAGGTCAAAGGGTAAAACTTGCAGTTTTGCAAAGTGAAGAAATCTAGAGACATTATACAGCAGGAAGACTATAATTAATAATATTGTATTTTATACTGAAAAATTGATGAGATATCAGATGCCTCTACACAAAACAAAAACTTTTTGAGATGATGGATATATTAGTTTTCTTGATTGTAATCATTTCATCATGTATATCATGTTGTAGACTTTAAATATATACAAGAAAATCAATAACATGATAAATAAAGTAATAAATGTATATGTGTATAATAAATTTAAACTATGTATTCACTGAAAGCAGCTAGCAAAGATGAAATGCAAGAAGCATATTTATGTTATAATCAATATGGTCAGCCGCG